AAAGAAGCCTCAAAAAAAATCCAGGACTTGGAAAAAAATTCACCAAAAAAATAGAAATATTAAATAAAAAACAAACAGAACTTCTGGAAATGAAGTATTTATTCAAGGAATCACAAAACACAGTGGAAAGCCTCAAGAATAGGATAGATCAAGCAAAAAAAAGAATCTCCGGGATTGAAGATAAACCTTTCAATTAAACAAGTCAGTCACAGAGATAGAGCAGAGAAATAAAAGAGTAAAGCCTATTGAAATGTGGGATTATGTGGAGAGGCCTAAGAGAAGAATAATAGGCATCCCTGAGGGTGAAGAATACACCAGGGATGGATAAACTATTTGAGTTTATAATGGAGGAAAATACCCTGGCCTTGCTAGAAATCTAGATATCCAGGTACGAGAAGCTTAAAGGACTCCTGGGAGTCATTGCAAACAGGAAGACACCACAACACATCCTCATCAGACTGGCCAAAGTATACATGAAAGATACCCTCTCAGAAGTCATAAGGTGAAAGCAGCAGGTAACTTACAAGGGAAAATCCGTCAGATTAACTGCAGACTTCAGAACCGAGACTTTACAAGTCAGAAGAGAATGGGACCCCATTCTCAGTCTACTCAAACAGAATAATACCCAGCCTAGAATTTTGTATCCTGCAAAACCAAGTTTCTTATATGAAGGAGAAAGAAAGACCTTCTCAGACAAGCAAAGACTGAGGGAATTCATTAAGACAAGACGTGCGCTCCAGGAAGTACTCAGCTCAGCATTACACATGGATGAGAACAATAAACACTCATCAGTGTAAAATCATCCAAAAGCTAAAAGTCAAAGGCCAGAAATCACAATGGCTCAACAGAGAAAACAAAGCAACAAAGTTCACCTCAACAGGATGAACAAAAATCTGCCCCACTTATCAATTCATTCAATAAATGCGAATGGCTTGAACTCCCCTCTAAAGAGACAAAGGCTGGCTGAATGGATAAATATACATGAGCCAAGTATCTGCTGTCTTCAGGAAACACATCTAACCCACAAGGATGCATTCAGACAGAAGGGATGGAAAACAATATTCCATGCTAATGGAACCAAAAGAAAGCTGGCATAGCAGTTCTGATTTCAGATAACTTAGTCTTCAAATCAATAAAAGTAATGAAAGACAAAGATGATCACTATATAATGGTGAAGGGTACAATTCAAGAAGAAGACATAACAATTCAAAATATTTATGCACCTAACTCAGGTGCTCCCAGATTTATAAAGCTAATCTGAATTGATGTCAACGTCAGATTTTTGAAAGAATATTGTAATTCCTATTACAGCTTCATAAAACATAAATACCTGAATAGCTTGTGAAAATCCACCAGCTCCAGCAATTGCATGAGGTCATACCTTTATGATTAACCTCTTATTCTACATCACTCATGGTGGTTCTGCTTCTCTGATTGTAACCTGATTGGCACAAAACCTAAGGGGAAAGGGCTCAGAAAATGATTTTTAAAGCGATTCCAGATAAACAAATCCAGATTACTTCAATGAGCATCTTTAATGAAACTGCCACTTAACATTATTGTAGGGAAGGTTTTTTAAACTTTAGAAAACTTTACACATTTTCTGTATGATCTATTTTAAGTCAAAAATTCAACTATTAGAGGAAAAGTGTTCTGAACACCTGTTCCCAGATGAGATAGAAGGAGGTTTTACTTAGAATTCAATCTTGTGATCCAGACCACAGATTAAGTCCACAGACCACAGTCACTACCATTTCTTGCCTGGGATCTCCAGATGTGCATTTCAGCTTGGCTCCCGCAGCATGTGGTGGGGGTTCCGTCTCTTATTGATCTCTGGAGTTTTTGTTTTGCCTTTACTATCACTTCAAACACTGTGCTTCACAGAGAGCACAGAAATACTTTGCCAAATCTTCCAGCCGTAAGTCTGAAATGGTCAAGTCGATGGACTTGGCTTCTTTCCTGAAGTTGACAGAATAGCGACCATCCTTTGCATTCTGACTATTAGAACCCTGGCGAAGAAGGAAAATCATCTCTTTGCTGGGAAGTTGCTTGTACCAATTAATAGTGTAATAAATCCGGCTTGTTTCATACTGGCAGTTCAGGGTGACTGTCTGCCCCACTGTCGTGGATCTGGCTGTCTGGGCTTGAGTAACTTTCTGGGCCACAATGGATCCTGTGGGAAAAATCAGAAACAGAGCTATCTTCTGATGTAATGACTAAAATATTATAAAAATTAGACTAATTTATGACCCAAAGAAACCAAATTGAAATCCTAGTATGCTCACTTTTCTTTAATTTCCCCTTTCCTCCTCAAGTGCATGAGAAGTTCCACAGGCCTGTGTTCAACCCTCTCTTCCTTACCATTCCTACCCATGTTTGGAACCATCCATACCAGAGTAGCTGAAGGCCAGGAATACCCACAGCAGGCTGAAGGGCGGCATGTGGTATGTATCCCCCTGCACAAATGTGCTTCGTGCCACCTGAAGCTCCAGGTTCACTGTCCCTGAGTGACCAGCAGTGTTTATGTGTAGTTCCTGTGTTCTGATGTCACTTCCCCTAACAGGAAATTTGGTTTCTCATGTTCATAGTCACGTGGTCTATGCACAGAGAGGAGAAACGTGTCTGGTTAACCTCAAATTTTACTTTGTGTACTTGTCTTTTCTTGGTCATTAATTTAGATAGTACCTGGAAAAGAGTCATGGAAAAAGCCATTCATAGTGTAGGTTGGAGCTGTGGGGAACTGCAATTGAACCCATTGATGTATGTTGATTTCATTCAGTGGAATAATTTTGCAGGTTTGCTTAAGGTAGAATTTATACTGAGCCATGTACCCTCTTTATTATCTACTTACTGGTCATTCATTCAGCATGTATGTACTTTCCTTCATCCAGAGCCTAATGAAATTTCAAAGGATAATACTCACAGTTCTTTGACTTTGTTTGTGATAGGCAGTCCTATCCTAAACAATTACTGCATGTTTCTTCCTCCTTACTGAGTTCTGGAGCCCTACTTATCTTCTACAATAAATAAAGCCAGTTCAGAATCGAGTGGTAGAATCAGTCCTTCTGATGTTCAGAAGCTAATCTGTTATTTGTGTTTTTATAAAATTATAACAGGAATAAAATATAGTCCTTTCAAAATCTGACATTGACTTTTATTTATTAGATTAGCATCATTATATACAGTCCTGGTGCCTTGACAAGTAGCATTGTACTTATTTAGATCACGTATCTTAGAATTGTCCTGCTGTCATATTTTCATCCTAATCATCCAAAGTGTTCAATAACCTTTGTTAAAATCTGTGGCTATGCATTGTCTTATTTGTCAAATAAAGTCATGATTTGCACGCTGGACCTCTCTGTGATACTACGTCGTAATCTACTCTTACTGAACAGGACAGACTGCAAACACTTTGAGCATGGCAAAACCACTGACATTGGTGGCTGAATTTTTTTGTATGTTTTTGTGTGATTGTGTGGAATTTGTCTGTTACTCTTTTATGTGGTTTAATTTTCTTAATGGATGAATTATTATAAGGAGACTGAGATCCAACTAGATTAGAAAGTGTAGACAAGATCTTTCCTGAAAATATTCAGCCATGTTGCAGCCATGAGTATACATGTGCTGTGTGGTGCAATTCTACAACTTTTTGATTATATCTACCAGAAAGAAAAAACTTCTCATAAAATGCTGTTTTATTAGTGAAAATATTCAAAACTATTAATAGTATATATGTTGTCCAAAATAACCATATTTCCTACTTTGTATATTGAAAGAATGAAGATACTTTTCCAATTTGTGCTTAAAGATCATCTGGTGAAGGAGTTTGTGTCAAACTGCCAAACTGTAAAAAATGTATTTTTGGGGGGGCCACCCAATAAAGAAACCCAAATGCGAATAATTGAGTTATTCTTTGGTAAACTCTCATCAGACTCTTCCCGGTTTCCTTACGGAAATCCCCAAGCTCCCATACCAAATGAAGCTACAGAATCACAATTAAGGTTCCCAGATCTCCCCAATTCTTCCTCCCTCTTACATTTTTGGTAATGGCCATCCTCTGATGCTGACCACATATTCCCTCCTAAGCACTGTATTCTGTTTTATCCTTGTGTGTTTTAGTTCAATGAAAGCTACTGCAAGCAGACATAAATACAATTACAACTTTCTTCAGCAAGTTTTCAAGCTACTGGAAAAGAAAGTGAAACAAACTTTGAGAGCTAGGGGGAATTCATGTACTGACATATTGTGGGTACATCTCCCTTTGCTAAGAGACAACTGATTTGATATTTTTTTCATTTTTTCTTTTTATGAAAAAGTTTCCATTGTGGACTGGAGGAGGGAGCTTCTGGTTTGTTTATTTCAGGTCGAGCACCTTTTTATATATAAGTTAGAGATTTTTTTCCAATGGAATTTTTGTTGGCATTTTGTGGCCTATCTGAACATACTTGGCAAAGTCATAGGCTGTAAGGGTCCCATTGTCCATTCTGCACACTGGTCGAGATAGTAAAAACTGTGATTTCTATTAAAGATTAAAAAAAATTTATTTTATGAAATAATTCTCATATTGAAAATTACATAAAATTACATAGCAGACACCTTTGTACCTGGCAATGAGAATAAGCATATAAATAAATGTTTAGTTTTGCTGTTTTCTACAGATATTCTTCTCTCTCCCTCAGACATTTCAGACAGAGCTAAAATAGTAACGCTCCTTCTTTTGTCATTCTCAAGTAGACATCATCTTGGGAAGATCCCATGTATGTCTTTTTAAATTTAACTCTTAGATACATGCATCATGAACAATATATTGCATTGTATTTATATTTTGAGATTCCTCATTAATGATGCCATGCAGTACATACCATTCTCACAATTGCTTTTACATGCAACATTTTCTTTTTAAGAGTCATTTAAGAAAATATATATTGAACACTTCTTTGCTTTTAACAAACAGGTACATACTTCCATTTTATGAATAAGCAACTATTTTATTCTTCCAAAATTAATTATACTTATTACTTTCAAGCAGTATTGCAATGAGCATCCTTGTAGATGCCTCCTTATTCACATATTTAATATCGTTCATTGAGATATCAGGAATTGGTATTGCTGGATTTTTTAACATATGTATTTCCTTAACTAGTTTAGGCAAATTGTTCTCCTAAGTGAAAGTACAAATTATTTCCTGTGTGGTTGTTTTTCTCCACCTGGAGAAGTATAGTAGCCTTCTGTCCATATATTCTTATCAGCACATAATGTTACCAGACATTTTAATTTTTGTTGCTGTGATAGAAATGAAAAAGTAATTTCTTTTAGTTTGATTTCCTAGAGTACTGTAGAAGCTGATGTTTTATATATTCACTGATTATTCCTATTTCCTCTTCTTGAATTGCCTTTTATATCCTTATCTGTTTTATTTTGGATGTTTTTCTGACTTATTTGTAAGAATTCCCCATGTACCCTTTCTAACACTTTCTTGGTTATATGGTTTACAAATACATCCCAGCATGTGTCTTGTTGTTTAATATGTAGTGGGCACACAGCAGGTTAAAAATTTCCCTTCTATGACTAGTTCCTAGAGATTTTTATTTCTATTTATCAAATAATTTTAATGATTATCAATTTAGTTTTTCTATTTCTTTCCAGAGCTAAGTTTAGGTAGTATATTTTTTAACAAAATTGTTCCTTTCCTTAAAGTTTTAAAATGTATTGGCTCAAATTGTACATAACGTTCTCTTAATACATTTTTCAATTTCTACTGTATCTCTAGACATGTCTGCCTTTTAATCTCTCTCATCGTTGTTTTTATTAGCTTCCTATTGTTGTTGTAACAAATTCCCACAAACTCGGTGACTTAAAACAACACAAATATATTCTTTTACAATTCTAGAGGTCGTAAATCCAATTCAGTTTCACTGGGATAAAATCAAGGTGTCACCAGGTCTGAGTTCCTTCTGGTAGCTATAGGGAATAATCTGTTTTCTTGTCTTTTCCAACTTCAAGGATGTACTCATTCCCTCATGACATTGCTTTTTTTTCATTCTTACTCTACCGTCTCCCATTTATAAGGAGACTTCTGATTACGTTGGGTCTACCTGGATAATCCAGAACAATCTTCCTAATTCAAGATCCTTCAATTAATCACATCTGCAAAATCCCTTTTGACATACTTTAGTCAGTTGAATGGTGTCCCCACAATTCCTATCTCCAATATGATGAATTTTAAGTCATAAACTGTAGTACTGAAGAATGTGACCTTATTGGCAAATAGCATCATTGCCTATATAATTAGATAAATTAAAGTGAATTCACACAGCAGTAAGGTAGGCCCCTAGTCCACTATGACTAGTATCTTTATGAAAGGAATTTCATGTAAAGAGACAGAGACACACACAGAGGGAAGATGATGGATGGTGATACCGGGAAAACATGACTGTTTACAAACTAAGGAATTCCTGAGACTATCATAAACTAGGTCTGGTACAAACATTACCTGTGCCCTAGAGGGAGCATGGCTCTGCCAACATCCTGATTTCAGACCTCTGTTCACTTGAACTGTGAGACAATAAATTTCTGTTTTTCTAAGCCACAAAGTGTGTGGTGTTTTGTTACCACAGCCCTAAGAAACTATTACGCCACGTAGGCAATATATTCACTGACTCTGGAGATTATGACATGGACACTTTTGGGGGCCATTATCCAGCTGCCACATAGTTTAACTATTAATATTTTCTATTTTTTCCATTATCAACATTACAAAATATTTACTTTGTATAGTTCTTCAAAAATATTTATCATTGGATTTTCCTTTTTACTGCTTAGTTTTGTTTCCTATTTGATTAACTTCTGTACTTATCTTCATTGTTTGATTGAAGTATAATTTATGCAGTGAAATAAATTGGTCTTAAGTATGGAGTTAGAGGAGTTTTCAAAATTGCAAATAGCCTTGCAAACCACACCACTGTCAAGGAATAGGACATTTTTTCCTTCACCCCACCAAAACTCCTTGTGTCCCACCCAGGTAATTGCCAACCCACTATGCTTTCTTTTACCATAAATTAGTTTGTCTGCTTTAGAATTTCACATAAATGTGCTCAAACAGTATATACCATGTATCCCTTTGTGTCTGACAATTTTGCTAGAAATTATATAATTGAGGTTTATTCATATTGTTGTGTGTATTAGTGGTTTAGGCCACTTTATTGCTGATGGATATTCCATGGAACGTATATAGCACAATTTATTTAATCTCTTATGTGTGGACATTTTTTCTAGTTTATGGCTTCTAAGAGATAGCTGATATATGAATATTCTGTACAAGTTTCTTTTTGTGGACAGACATATGTTTTCATTTCCCTTGGGTAAATGCCTAAAAGTGGAGTTATTGGGTCATGGGCGATGTATATAGACTTTTATGAAAATTTTCCTTTGTGGGCCGGGTGTGGTGTC